TAAGGAGGGCGTCCAAATTTGTGAGCGCCCCTGGGTCCGTTCTGCAGAGGACCATTGACTACGCCGCCGAGGTAAGACTAGTGCCCCGTTTTTTGCTTGATTTCGCCCAACAGGTAGTTCGATCTAACCTTTTCCTTGTACCATTTCCCAGGCGTTCGTTGCTTCCATTCAATCGGCTCTGGTTATAAAGGCCGAGCTGGATGGGAGGGAAGCTTTGGCAGCGAGGGAGAAAGAGGAGTTCTCCGCTGCCTTGGAGGCTGCTTCCTCCACCATGAAGGATGAGCTTCTGAAGGCTCACTCTGAGGTGGAGACTTTGAAGGCCGAGGTGGAGTCTCAGGCCGAGCTACTGAAGAAGGAGGAGGACAGGCGCAAGGCTCAGCTCCTAGCTGCCCACGCCATCACCAGGGGCTTGGAGAAGGAGAAGTTCCAGCTCCTGAAGGAGAAGGACGACATGCTCCAGGCGCTCGAGGCGAAGGATAAGGAGTTGGAGCGTGCGACTGCCGAGCTGGAGACGGCGAAGGAGCGCCTCAGCAATGGAGTCCTGCTGGAGGAATCGTTTAGGCAACATCCTGACTTCGATGGATTTGCCAAAGACTTTTCTGACGCGGGCTTCAAGTTCCTCATGAAGGGCATTGCTTCCGACATGCCCGACCTTCAGATCGATTTAAGTGGTCTGAAAAGGAGGTATGCCGAGAAGTGGGCGTCTGGGCCTAGCGGCACCCCTGGCCCCCAAGCGTTGGTGGATCGGTATGTCAGGGATCTGAACTCTGACTACTCCGATCCCGAAGAGGACCAGGTCGACTCCACTCAGGAGGGCGCTCCCCCAACAGGCTCTTAGGCGACCACCCTTCACGAGGCTTTTCGCCGTTCTCCCTCCCTTTTCTTTTTGTTTGTAAGTGTCAGGGCAGAGTTGCAAGGTCTATAAGCCTTGGCTCTGCTCTTCATTCAATAAAGAGACTCCCATTCGCTTCGACTTCATTGTTAGTGACCTTTTTTCTTCGCTTTTCCTTTGAACAGCAGCTAATGTCACCTCGCACCTCTTTACTTTTAAGGTCGCGCCTTTAATTAAAATAATTTGAAAGCTTGAGTTTGAATCTCTTAATGTTTAATCACATTGCACCAACTCTGGATTTTAACATTCCATCCTTAACTTAAAAAGGTAAAAAGGCCAAAATCCTAAGTCCGTAGCTGTTTTTCATATCGTTCCTCGTACCCCCAAGCTCGGAGGCTTGATCATTTTGAACTTTTCACATCGCCCCTTTGTCTTAAAGGTTTGAATTTTAAGTTCGTCAGTGGTTTTGGCATCGCACCTCGTACCCTTAGGCTTCGAAGGATTGAATTTGAACCAACTGCTGGAATGCGATCGCGTGAGAGTCCGTGGCCCCCATTTAATTTCTGGTCGAACTCGGAAGCA